AGAGAGAAGGTTTCACTATGTGGATTTATATGCCATTTACTTCCGTAGCAGACAATTCAATGTCTGCTACAAAATGTTTTACTTATAAAATAACTCTTCCATAGGTAGATGGGAAAATAAATCCATAAATTAAGGCTCTAAGAACTTTAGACAGAAATGAGAAATTCTACTACCATCCTCATCCCCAAAGTAGCACATGTCCTCAATGCACAAGTTGCCATTCTTCAGGGGATTAATTACAGGACACTTCTGAAGTGAGAACTATTTTTGCCAAAGTTTTGCCAAAATTTTGCCAAAGTTCACTTACAAATCACAAATGTTTTATTCTTCCTATACCAGTGAAGAATACAGCAAGAAACTAATGGGAAAAAACCTGACTGCATAGTTTTAAATTATACCTTAAGAAAGCATGGGAATATCCCTGAGCCCATCTCACCAATAAAGATAGACTAACTTCCCTGTGGTACTTTTATTCATAATTGCCTATGCTTGGAAGCAGCAAAGATGTCCCTTAGTGGGTAAATGGGCCAATAAACTGTGGTTCATCTAGACAATTGACTGTTATTCAGCACTGAAAATAAATAAGTGATCAAGCCATGAAAAAACATGCAGGAGCCTAAATGCATACTACTGAGTGAAAGACACCAATCTGAAAAGACTACATACTGTGTGATTCTACAACATTCTGGAAAAGGCATAACGAGAGAGACAGTAAAACAATCAGTGGTAGTCAGGGGCTAAGCAGGAGGGAGGGTGAATAGGTGGAGCACAGAATTTTTAGGGTAGTAGACTACTCTGTATGATATTATAATGGTAGATACATGTCAATGTATATTTGTCTAAACCCATAGAATGTACACCACCAAGAGTTAACCCTAATGTGAACTATGAGCTCTGGGGGATAACGATGTGTCAATGTGGGCTCATCATCTGTACCACTCTGCTGGAGGATGTTGAAAATGTGAGAGGCTATAAATATATAGGAGTAGGGAGTATCTTTATCTGCTCAATTTTGCTGTGAACCTAAAACTGCTCTAAAAAATAAAGTCTATTAAATAAAAATACTCTTGGCTGGAGAAAGGAGGACAAGAAAATGATAGACATTGTAAGGTCTCCCCGAAAGATGGCCTTATTCCTTTATCCCTAGGCAAACAACCTCTAGGAAATTTCAGAATCACAGAAAAGACGCCCAGTTCTTGCTCTCATTGAAACCCAGGAAGACAAGGTTCCCTCCATTCTAGGGAGAAAAGCATGTTATCTTTAGTCAAAGATGTCTGAGCCCTTCTGGGTTCCCTGTAGCCACAGGGTGAAACAAGAGGGCACTTTTCTTATATCCCTTAGAGACAACCAACAGTCCTAAAGTGGTCTTGCCAGCACACAAAAAGGAGTGATATCACCAGACAAAAATGAGATGTCACATGTCTCAGATGTTTGGAGTGGATACAGATATCACTGAGAATATGGGCAAATGATGACAAAGGAGCAGATGTCACAGTCCTCTGAAGCCTGTGTTCTACATACAACTGCAAGAAGAGTCATGTGGGGAGAAACTATGAATGGATCCAAAAATCTCAACTTGAATAAGAAAACCTTGAGTTAATAAAGTAAAAATAGAGTATTAATCTTTACCTCATTTAGCTGGTAGAAGGATAAAAATGTATAAATGTGGGAAAAAAAACTCATGGTTGAAATGGATTTGTCAGAGGCTACTTTAGTTTTTCTAAAAGTAATGTTTCCATTAAATGAAGAATTCACACAATCTTTAGAGCGAAAATTTAATTATACTAGACTGTTAAATTCCTATTTTTCACAGTTCAAAAATGCCATTTTGTAATAAAGGTATTTTACAAATTCTGTGGTTAAAATATTCCAACTTTTGTGATTAAGCCTCAAATTTAGAAACATTATAGTCAATGAGCTTCGTAGAAAAGTCATTTCTTTTTCTCATTGAATTTTAGGAAATATTTTGAAAAAATATGTAACTGTAACAACTAAATGTAGCACATTTAGAGCTACAGTCCTCTGCAAGGGCTTGCCTGGACTTGCTAAGCTCCAATCTCACCTGTATCTCATTGTTCTTTTTTTTTTTTAACGTAAGAAAGTGGCAGTCTTTTATTGCAAATATGCACACACTCTCGGGCGAAGTTCTCTGGTCCTCAGGTGTGGGGGGCCAGGGAAGTCGTTGTTCTTTTTGACTCAAAAGGTTGTAAACATTCTCTAACCTTCTAGTCCTTACCTTGAAAAACAACACAGCATTTACATATTCCCAGGTACTTCTGTAACCAAATCAACTCTCTCCTCTTTGTATAAGGCTTCTTGTCACTAAATTATAACTTACAGCCAAGGCATCAGAGTTTAAAGTCTATATTTTGTCATTTGATTTGTACAAAGTGGTCAATACTATCAAAAAAATATACCTTGGTGAATTTTGAGTCATTATTATCATTGCCCCAATGATATCAATGCCTTTTAGTGGATTTTGAGGGGAGAAAAGGCAATAGAAAAAAAAAATGAACAAATTAAACTACTATTAAAGTATCTGTCAAGTATTAATTGATCAGTCTATATTTGTTCCCTGTAATATAAAGTATTTAGAATAGAATAGCTTAAGATTTATTCAGGTGCAGATGTTTCCAGATTACATAATTTGACTATCAGATGGTTTTAGTTATAATCATAAATACAATCAAATTAGGGTGAAAATGAAAGACAATTGTTTTATGGCATCCCGAGGAATATAAAAAATAAAGCTGGCTATAAAAATAACTAGTCAGAAGAATTTCTATGACTATGGAAGCAAATCTTTTTAGTCCTTATGTAAATGTAATTTCCTTCTGGCTTTCTTCTAATAATGGAAAATCTATATGCATTTGCAAATAGAATATTGGTATGCTTCATTGGCATTTAATGAGTTCTAATATGGTCACACTGTGCACTTCTACAATCATTTCTGCCTCTACATGATACTAATTGGATCTTTTCCAAAACACATTAGGCCATTTATGCTGTTTGTTGTCTTAAAATGTTCCATTGCCAATTATCTCCAAAAATTTGCTCCAGAGTTTGCTTCTGATTACAGTCATTAAATGTACTTTAACATTTTAACTTTTCAGTAAAAGAGAAGGTCCTCGTTTTGGTAGAACATTTTCCAGTTGCAAATTCCTTCACAAAGTTAAAAATATATATTGAGTATAAATAAATCCATTTATAATTTCTTTCTTGTCCTAAGCAAAATAAAACTCAGCAGGCTCTAGAAATCATGTTGTGACTGAGGACACAAACATATGAGAAGCAGAGTTGGGGGATTGAGGTGAAAAAGAATTCTAAACATTTAGAAACAGCTGCTTTTTAATATCTCAAGAGATGTTATTTTGATATATTATACAAATGTATTTTCTGAAGCAGCAGAATCTGAGTACTAAAGTCACACTGCCTGGGACTGAATTCTGTTTTCACCACTTTTTCCGTATACAATAAAAGTTCTCTGATTAAAGTACATTTTTCTCTTTAGAATTTTGCCATGTTTTGATACATGAGCAGAAACCAAACTATAAATAGCAGGATGCAAATTTTGTTTCAAAATATGTAATATGTAGCCTTATAAATATAGACTGTAAATATGTACACTAATCTCTTTCATTATTTTTGGTTAGCTGACAATAGGTAGACACAGTCATAGTTTTATCCTTATTACTAGTCTCACAAGTTTTAGTCATGCCCACTAATTGAATAGTTTCAGCTATTAAGGCTGTAACTGTTGATCCCTATATCTGTCAATCAATATTTGTCTTCATCTACAAATATGGTAACACCAGCATTTTAAAAAGTGAGGATCGCTGTCATGAGAATGTAGGAGTCTTACTCTCCTACAGTCAGAACCAGAACTCTCTCCACTGGGAAATGTCACCATAGAAGATTAGTTGGCTGCAAAATTATAGCAAAGATGAATTTGGTCTCCATTATCCCCACTACAGTTCCTTCCTGGTTCCTCTCTCAAATATCTCTTCTTAAGAATCTGACACATATTCTAAAGATCAACTAGATTGCCCCATTATTTTAACGCCTACCTGCTTCCTCCTTTGTCTATTCATACCCATATTTTAAAAGGGCATTTCAGTCATTGTGAGACAGATGCATATTTTCCAAACACAGAGATTTAGATTTGTAATAAGGTTTAGAGGACAATTTTCTTCCGTCATCACTATACAGGATGTTAGATCCTAGAGAGTTGACACTTACCTGCCTTACTCAGGGTTTAGCTTAGTGCCGGGCAAATAGAAAGGGTTCAAAGTTGGTTGTTAAACTGAATAAATGTGGTCAGTGATTAGCAACTTAGCGCACTGGTTTAATTCTATTAGACCACATAACAAATTACTGAAATCTCCTGTTCATAGATGGGTCTTCCCAACTAGACGCCACGTTCCTCAAACGTAGAAACCTCATTTTTTCTCACCAACCCCAGCGGGAGTCTTGGCATAGAGAATTCCCTCTTGTTAGCTCTCTTACTTATTGAAATTAAATAGTTATAAATCAGTATTGGAAAGTAAAGCGTGAAGGAGAAACTATGAGAAATGTAAAGGCTGTAACAGGACTGGTTTGCTGGAAAGACGGAAGAAAACTAATAATAAAGCAGTGTTACAATTCCTGCTTCTGGTGCACCAATTAACCTTTTCTGCGCTCAGGTTGCCTTAGCAACTTTGGAGCGCTTTCGCCCCAACCCCGCCTCCAGCCTCGCCCCAAGTCCATCTCTCTCTTCATCCGACTACCCCAAACCCTTACTTCCGCCCCAACCTGCCAGCTGGGACCTAGGGTCCTACACTCTATGCCCACGCTTATCCTGCCTGACTAAAAATATGGTATCAAATTACCAAAGTTAGAAAGATGTTTTATAAATATAATCCATACTTTTTTCTCAGATATATAAACGCAAAAGCACAAGGCATTTGTAATTTAAAAGCGCTACCTAGCATGAGCTCTTAGGGCCAATTTTCAGGCAGTGCGTTGGATAGCAACAACTTCGGAGGTCCCCAGCTTGCAGAGGGAGACGTGGAAGTGAGTGGAGCCGGGCGGTCCCGAGCACACTAGGGGAAGTCGTGCTACCCCGGGGAGTTAGCGTCTGCTCTAGATTCAACCCGGCACCACCATGTAAGTGTTTGCTTACCGACTGCCTTAATCCCTGGTCCCGCTGCGCGACCCTGACTCTCTCCCGCTCCTTTCCTTAGGTCGAAGGTTTCCTTTAAGATCACGCTGACGTCGGACCCACGGCTGCCGTACAAAGTGTGAGTAGCTCGGCCGAGATGGGCCTTTTGGGGCCGGATAAGACGGGGCTGGGTTGAGGGTGATCCGAGCCTTTCCAACAACTACCCCGTGCAGTCTTCATCTCTTCAGTTTCTCTACCTTCCTGGCTCGCGCCCTTCCAGGAGTCTCTCCCACCGGAGCCTGCGAGGAGAGGTCCGTACTTGCTCGCTAAGTAGCAGCTTGGCAGCTTGGCCCCAGCACGAGGGTGTGGGTGTGTTTCTGATTAGTGACCTCCCCTCGGAATTCATTTGCTGGGCAGGTGGAGCGGGAGGACAGGTGGACCAGGTTCTGGTAATTTGCTGGGATTCTTAAACAGCCCCCATCTGCTGGATATTAGAAAAACGTTTCACCGCTTTAGCCAGCTGTTTGAGGAAGTTAAGGAAGATATTCCATCTTGATAGTCAAGACTTTGAAATTACTTGAACATTTGTTATTCCGCGGCTTCTGAGTTTTGTTGTGTATGAGTAACTCAACAATCGGGCATCACAAAGTAATGAGACTCGGCTCACACCCTTCCTGTGTTGGGATTTAATAGAGTATTTAGTAGGAATGGGCAATGCAGAAGAGGAGGATAGTTTATCCATGTGGGGTCTTTACTTCGCAGTTGAATGATAGATTTTAAGTAAACACTCTTGAGGTTATTGCAGTTGGAAGTAGCATGAAATGTATCAAAGAACAGGATTACAGTAGGATTTTTTGCATAATTAATTAGTAACGTGGCCTACCTAACTGTTCAGTTATTTACCAATCCATGATCCATACAACCTCTCAGCCTTTTGAACCCTTGTTCTTTTCATCTGCAAAATATCCTTTTTACACTTTATCTCAGGTGTTCATGGTTGCAGCCTAGAACTGAAGAGTCCAATAATTGCTCCATCTCTAAGATGTCGTTTACAGGCACTCTTATGGATAAATACATTCTCTCCTACCTGATTTACTGTAATTTCTCTTCTACAACGGTTCATTTAATCCATCAATCACAGTGGTTTTTAATCTATAGCTATCCCAACTTCTATTCCTTACCTTATTCCTTATATAGTTAAGAGTCTATTGGTCCATCTTTAAATCATTCTCATGCAAACGCCCTCAACTCTGATGGCCCTGTCTCTCCTCCTAGCATATTTTGGTTAGTGAAACACCAGCTCTGAAACCAGCTATTTGTATTATCTGTACATAACTGACTGCCCCTGGCGAAAATAACAGACTGGAGGGTTTTACGTTAAGTTCATGACTACAATTAATAGTACCTAGTACTTTACTACATTCTTCAAGTTTGCTCATTTTCCTGCTTATTCTCGGAAAGGATTGTTTAAAAATTTCTAACTTTCCGCAGCTGCTCTCTCCCTTGCTCTCATGCCATCAGAGGGAAATTCTATCATCTTTCCACCAATATAAACCTACCACTGCATTGATATATCCGTTAATTTCCCATCCTTTTAGAATGGAAAAAATGACTTCACTCCTGTGAAAAACCACTTGAGCTCTGGTTCCCATCTATTTCAGTCTTGTCAAGGTTAAAGTAGATGGAGTCCAGTGCCCCTTCTCTCCTCATTGTTGGTTTTTTCCTCTATACTGGATTATTATTCTCATCAATATGCAAATGTACTCTAGAAAGAGAGCGTGAGAAGGAAGGAAGAAGAGGATAGCGTAGGACAGTAACATTAAGAGCCTGGAACATTGTACCAGTTCAGTTAATGTGTGGTGACTGAATGAATTTAGTAGGTACAACTGTTGTTTAGTATGTGTGTGTGTGTGTAGTTGTGTGTGTATGTATGTAAGGATGTGTGTGTGTAAAATTCACATAACATGTAAATGTGTGTACAAGGATATCTGCGCTGTATTTTCAAAGTAAATGGTAACTAGTACTTGGGTACTTGACAAGCTTGCCCTTTTAATCTTTCCTTCCTTTACACTTGTTCTTTTCTGTGCTTAGAATGCCGTCTCATGACCACAACATATTTTATAATAATAAAAATCTCACCTCTATGAAATTTTTTTTTTTTTCTTTTTTTTTGAGAGAAAGTCTCGCTCTGTTGCCCAGGTTGGAGTGCAGTGGCGCGATCTTGGTTCACTGCAACGTCCACGTTCCGGGTTCTTCTCCTTCCTCAGCCTCCCGAGTAGCTGGGACCACAGGCGCATACCACCATGCCCGGCTAATTTTTTGCGTTTTTAGTAGAGACGGGGTGTCACCGTGTTAGCCAGGATGGTTTCCATCCCCTGACCTCATGATCCTCCCACCTCGGCCTCCCAAAGTGCTGGGATTACAGGCGTGAGCCACCACTTCTGGCCAAAGATTTTTCTAATTGTCCACAGAGTTAATCTGGCCCTTTCGTTACCTGTGGACTTAGTCTTTATAATAATTCTTACCAATTAATCTTATTATTTTGTTTATATGAGATATTTATTTTTAAAAAAGATGCCAGGAATGTACTTTAAAAATTCTCATTAATGTAAATTTATTCAAAACACTGGGATAATTTAAGTACCTATTTTATGAAATGACTGGCAAATATAACTTTAGATAAGATCTGTGCAGTCACTGTAACTCTCATTTTCTCTAATTTTCTGCCAGTTAGAACTTGCACTAAAAGATGTTTTCATTTTTTATTTTTATTGGCTTGTCTGTGGACACTCACCAACTTAATATACAGATAGAAACTTATTTTAATGAGCATCAATATGACATCTAGGTATATTTTAAGGACATCTGCAAGTCTCCAATTTAAAAGTTAATTGAAATCCGAGGGTTTGGAAGTTCTCCGATTGAAGGAAAATGAATCTCAGCTTCTTAACTACTTATATACTGCAAAAATACTTTGTAACATACTGTTGCCTAGTTTGTAAACTACGACATTGCCAATTGATTAGTTTTTAAACAAATGGCTATCCTTTACATGTTTTTATTTTTTGTACCCCCAAAAAACATTTGTGAAGAAAGGGTAAAAGTGATACTCATTTTCATCCTTTACTAGTATTTTGGAGTTGTGGAATGAGGGCAGCCAAGAAATCTATTCACATTTCTATTACTGAAAACTGGTACCATATGCTGTTCCTGATACAACAATTCTTGTAGTCAGAGATCTGTAGACTGAGTGAGGAGCCTGGGCATATTACATGAGAATAATGGTAGCTGGTATTAAGACACTTAAGAATAATACAATAATACGGTGGTGACAAATAGAGACGGTTTCAGTGAGAAATGTTAGCTTGTCAGTCTCCTCTGATTTGAAATTTTGTTTTCTGTTTTCCCTCATTGTAATTTATGTTACCTTAGGAATCTTGTTTTTTAAAAGAAGTTTTAAAAACCTCTTACTGTGTCTTTAAGTGTTTTCTTAAGGTATAAAGTAAATTTCTGTTTGGAATTTTTTTATTGGAAAATTAATACAGATTGACCCTGGGACTAAGTCATTAAGAAAAAAAAAATCTATTTATTCATGATCTTTAAAATACTTGCCATTTTACGAGTCAGTTAACAAAATCATCCCTCTCCAAAATGTTATTTCACATTTTTACTTAGCCCATTTTAAATGATGGTGGGAAAATCACTTCATTATTGGCATTTTGCCATAATAAACTTCATGCATTTTCATTAATTTGGTCTACTAATTTTGAACATGATTATTAAGAGTGCACAGAAGGTTCATCAAAAGCTTTATGATCAGTGATGCTTCCCAAATAACCTTCTACTTATAATGAAAATTGTAACTTTAATGGGTCAAGTGCATAGGTATTTAGATGGGAGGTAAAGTGGACTGAAGACCAAGGAGAGCTTCACCTTTTTGAAATCCGTCTCTAGAAACAAACAGCAGTTCATATGCTAGACTTATGTGTATCAAAGTGTTAGAAATATGTAAATCTACACCTGTAGAGGTTAATTCTCAAGTGGAGCTCGGGCACCTTGCCAGCGCCAAGGCTAGTTGCTGTTTGGGTTGTGATTATTATTGTTTTGAGTTAAAGAATGTAGTATGCAATCAAAATCACTAACTTTGAAACTGCAAAGTCAGCTTTGTCCAGATCGGCTACAGTAGCGGAAATAAGGAACAAAGGGGCTTTTTTAGAAAATGCTGACTTTAAAAGAAACTGTTTTAAAATTCTTCTTGCAGGCTCAGTGTTCCTGAAAGTACACCTTTCACAGCAGTCTTAAAGTTTGCAGCAGAAGAAGTAAGTACAGAAGTTGGAACAGCCTTTATGAAATGCGATTTGGCAGTATGCTTCAAACGTCTTTAAGATTTGCATGCACTTTGACCCATCATTTCCATGTGGCTTCATTACTAGGTTTATGTTATCAAAAAGTTGTAAGTAGGATGATGGTTAAGACTTACTTTCAGATATAAGAAGCATGAGTTAAACAAATCGACATATCTGATTAATGCAACCATTGAAAATTATAAGAATTTATGAGGCTTTTTATGAAAATTAAAAAGGTACTGATTTTTAAATGTTTTTTTAAAATGCAACAGTATATCACATTATATTCTATATACTGATATTTTACTAGTCTTGATTACAAAATTACAATTTCATGAAATCTTTGTCATAGTTTTCAGATCTTCTGTATGAGCATGTGAACTGTCAGTAAAATTTGTTGTTTTGAAAAGTTCCTAGTTTTTTTAAACGTGTTTGAGTTTTCTGTTTTATAAGAAATAATTTTTTCATCCAAAATTATTAGAAATATCTATAATGCAACTTTTTGGGCATGACACTTGGAAAAGTAGCTTAATCTGGTAGAAATGGCACCCAAATGTGACTTGGGAGACTTAGGGTTCCTGTTATAGGTGTGTCATTAGTTAGCTGTATGACATGATGCAAATCCCTGTTTTTTATTCTACAAAATGGAAGTAGTTAATACCTGTCCTTCCTCTCTGATCAAGTGATTTTGAGTAAAAACATTATTTACTGAAATTTTCTGTTGAGTTAAAAGTGCTAAATAGGTACGTTGTAACCCAAATCAAAACGTTTTGGTTCAGAATCTTTTGAAAAGTTTATAGTCACAGAAAAATAATTTTCTTAACTACATTAATAAAAAAATAGCTTAACACAGAATCCTGCCCTGTACTTAACTGATTTATGGGAAGTCAGCCAATCCAATCAGTGCTCAAAGCTCCTTGTATTGTCAGAAATCAGTAACATCATTTGTCACTCATTCAGAATTAAACTGCCAACTAGTAGCATTTGTTTTGTGTCAGTGTTGATACATTCTTCATGCAGAAAGAATAAGTAAAATGAGATGTGACACAAATCCGAATATAACGTTGTCATTATTGTTTACTGCACAGATTACTTGCAAGAAATATTCCTAGACTGGGGCATAACAGAATCCACAAATTCCAGATTTAAGAAGTAGATCTATACAAGCTCTAATTAATATTTATTATATTTTGTAGTTACTTTATTGTGTGTCCTTTATAATGCAAAGGCATTTTTGTGAACCTGGTTTTCTAATAAAAGTAGAAGAAAATCTTAACATACAGTAGTGAATAACTAAGAAACACCACACAACCATATATGTTGATTAAGGTAGTTTATAAGTAAAGCTTACAGTAGAGTAAGCTATAGAAAAGAAAATATTAAGAAAATCATAAGAGAAAGTATATGTACTATTCATGAAGTGGATCACTATTATGAATCATAGGTGTTACATATTTAGAAAGGGTATGACTTTCAGATTGTTAAAAGAGGAACTTTCATGAGATGGCATTGTAGAATCATTCAGTGAGAAAAAAGTTGACTCAAGAAAGCAAGAGTCTGGATTTAAATCCCTGGTAAAATTGCCTTAGTAGTGATAATAAAATTTCCCAGCACATGACTGGGGTACGTAATGAATTGTTGAAACCTGCAAAGAGCCCTAAATTATAAGAATTATGGGATATCTGAGGAGGAAAATAAATGAAAATAAATGAAAACAGAAGACCACAAAAGAATACTTTGCATTCAGTAGAAAACCTGTCAGTACAGTAGGACAGAAAGGAATAGACTCTGCCTTTTACATCACTAGTGATACTTCCTCATAGTTTAACCATTTCTTCCACATTCTGCCTAAAGGAAAAACTGTGTCAGCAATTGATTTTGGTTTTTAAAATCATAGGTTGCTGCTACATGGATGTGACTAAGAAAATATATAGCTTATATAAAATGGGCATGATGTAAAAGACTCAATCAGTAGGATAACTAAAAGCTTTGTAGGACTCTAGCTTTAGAAATCTGAGAGGCCTATAGTTAATTTGAGCGTTTGATCAAATTCTTATTGAGATTACAGCCTGTGCAAAATATTTGTGATGGACTTTTAAGTTTGCTTAAGTACACTTTGAAATTCTTTAAAAATTTTAAAATCTTTAAAAGGACACGAGTGTACCACATTGAGATTAAAATGTGTTTATTAATTTGTACATAATACTAAAACAAATAATTGTTCTCAGGCATGTTTAAGGCCTTATTTTAAAAGCTGATTCTTCAATTTCTAATTTAAAATAAGCTTTTAGTTTTTCTCAACTGTGTGTATGTAATGATTATAAATGCCTAGAGTAGTGTCTCCCAGACCACACACAAAGTAGTACATACAAAGTAGTACCACCAAAAATTAAAAAAAAGGGTCGGGGGGGATCATGAAGAACAGGAATTATTGGTCAAAAAATATGAGAAACAGTTCATTTCTGTTAGGAGTATATTAAAGTCTTTTGAGAAGACCACTAGTTAAACATGTTTTCCAGACTTACTTGATCACAAAACTGTAATATCTATAAAGTTAGTCCATAGCACAGACATGCTTCATAAGTATTTGTTGGATAAATGCATAAACTATGAAGACATAAACACACTTTCACAACTGCTGGTCTCTTTAAGAGATTTATTTACTTACTCTTTATTTATTATTTATTATTATTTATTTATTTATTTATTTACTCTTTAGTTACAAATAAATTCCATACCACATGTCATTGATTTTAGAAACACATCTTTTTAAACATCTCTGAAGTAGATCAGGGGAGACTTGCTATCACTGTTGGCCAAATGGCATTCTCATAATTGTCTAGGTAACGTCATCTACACTTAATTATTATTTCCTAATGACATAATTGGACTATTGCAATCCTTGAGCTTTAAATCAGCAAATCATTAAAGAAGAATGTAAGGAATACAAGCCTTGGTTGTTACCTGAAAATGTTATGTAGGCACCCGCCATTAAACACAGAGAGCATCTGTTCAGATCTTGCAATTTCTATGCAGAAATTTTAGGAATAATCTCATCAGTTTATTTTGCGTATGCTTTTTGCTAGTCAAGATAATTATAAATGACAAAAGTGGTGGATAAGTCCTAAAGAGTAAACATTGATCTGGGCATAAATTGACAGTGGTTTTTCATTTTTGTAATGCAAAAAATAAGGTACACTTTTATACATAATGGTGTCCTAAATACAATCGAAAGCATTGTTTATAGTACAGGGGTTTTTTAACAGATAAAGCATATGATACAGTCCAGTTGACCCTTGAATAACATGGGAGTTAGGGGTTCCAACCCTGTGTGCAGTTGAAAATCTGCATAAAACTGTTTTATTGATCAAAAACTTTACTAATAGCCTGCTGTTGACCGGAAGCCTTACTGATAACACAAACAGGAGATTAATATGTATTTTGTTATGTGTATTTTATACTGTATTCTTATAAGAAAGTTAAAGAGAAGAAAATATTAAGAAAACCATAAGAGAAAGTATATTTACTATTCATTAATTGGAAGTGGACCATGGGAAAGGTCTTAATCCTTGTCTCATGTTGAATATACTGAGAAGGAAGAGGAAGCGTTGGTCTTGCTGTCTTAGGAGTAGCGGAGCCAGAAGAAAATCTGTATATGTCATTCAAGGGTCAGCTGTACTTTCCTTGATGGTTTCATTTATTCTAAAAGATTAATCCCACTTTAGAATTATAGAATTAGTATTTGTACCCCATTCTTGCTAATTATCTTATAGTTTTGTGTGTGTGTGTGTGTGTGTGTGTGTGTATATATATATATATATTTTTTTTTTCCTTCTATTTAGTTTAAAGTTCCTGCTGCAACAAGTGCAATTATTACCAATGGTAAGAATTCACTGTAAAATTATGTATTACCTCAAATTTATAGAAATTATGTAAAAAGAACCAAATTAATTAAAATGAAATACAGAAAGCCCCAAGTATATGTGTATCAACATAAATGATATACTTAATGGTAAACACTAAGTCAGGGTTATGGTGCATAATTAGCTCCTCTCATTTCTTTGTGCTTTTGATATAGTATAGCACTTATAATATCTTTTGTCCTTACCAGTTCATGCCAGATTATAACTGAAAATAACTTTATTTAGCAAGTTTTTTTTTTTTTAATTAAGTAAAGTTGATTTGATAAATGCTTTAGAATATAGAAAGTTAAGCAGGAATGTACCTTTGCTATACCTTTCCTGATAGAAAATTGTATCTTGTAGACTTGTAATAATGAGAATTTTATTCAGTTTTAGGTATATAATTAAAAATCTTAGTATCTTGGAACACTGATAGTCAATGATGATGCAATTAGTCTTGTGAGAAAATAGTGAAATAAGATGAGGAGTAAAGATTGCAGGGAGGGCTTAACTGTGTTTCAAGTATACAGTGTAGTAGTGATGAGTGCTGATGAGTTGCCCAAGTGCAGTTTGGATAAACTAACAGGAGATGGGTTTAATGTGCATGTTGTAACTTAGATAAGATAGAATTTCTCACTCTAAAACATTCTGCATTCTGTCACATTGAAGTGTTTCTCTGTTGGAAAAAAGCTGGCTTACTACCTGGAAAGTTTTAGGTCATAACTTAGTAACGTGTGTTGAACTAAATGACTTCGCAAGCTCTCCCAGCCTTAAGATATTATGACCCAGAGTAATACGAAGATGATTCATGGCATACCTAAGGTGCTTTTTAGTTTTTTGGAAGAAATGACAAACATTATTTTTAATTCTATGTGGCAAAATAAGTTAATAACCTATATTCCATAGAACTTACCAAGATCATTGCATTGACAGCTGCTTTGGACTAACCCAGCAATGTGTATGAATGCAGAATAATAGATTTTAACAGATAATTTACCTGAAAGATTGTCACTCGTGTTCCTAGATTTAAATTATTTGACTTGTGTCTATATACACAGCAGCACTATTTTGGCAAATCTCTTTTCTTGCTAGTAGTATTAAACCATTTTAGCTTTAGAAATAATGTATGTGATTTTACAACTTGTTTTCTAGATGGAATAGGAATAAATCCTGCACAGACTGCTGGTGAGTATCTATTTGAAAACTCATAGAGCAGTGGGTGAGGTTATATATGTCAATTGACACTGAGTATTTAAGCTATTCTAATTATACTTGACAGTATTTTAACATAATGGAGCTGTTTTTTTAGGAATTATATACCAGTCTACCTGTGTGTCTGAGTAATAAGTTGTTTCATTGTGTATATCTATTGTAGATGTTTTTGGCTACAAGTAACAGAAAACCTAATAGTGGGCTTAAGCATTAAGAGTATTTATTATATATAACAAAAAGTCTGTAGATAAGATTGCTTTCTCATTGGAGTAAGGATTTTTTGACCTACCTCTTAAGGTAGTTGTCAGATAGTGAATGTAAAGTGCTTAATGGCTTGGATAATTTATAGAAAGCGTTCATTAAGTGCTATTATTATTATTTTTAATATAGTCATTTACATTTCAAAGGGCTGACTCTACACTCAGATTTTCAGACTGTTAAATTTATACAGGTGATATATCGGTGTCCTAACCAGGAGGCAGGGTAAAAGTAGTCTCATACTTTATAAAAAAGTAGTCTAAAACTTTTTTAAAAAATAGTTTTATATTTTTTAAATGTAGTCTCTTAGCCTTGTAATCTAAAGTTTTAAAATTAGGCATGCTTTAATGTAACCTCATTCTAGAGCAGTAGTCATTTTTAAATTATATTCTAAAGTATTTCTTTATTGTAACAAAATTATGTTGTTTTCATAGGCCTTGCGGTTGAAATTCAGCCATAGAGAAAATGAAGAGTGATTTAAAATTGCAAATTTTTGTTACTTCAGTAGTTTTTAATATATAATTTTATTAAAAAGGTTTGTTGAAAATCGTGAGGCACTTTATTGTATGGATGCCTTTAATCTGAGTAGAGAAAGGTTTCTTTTTTTCTTATTCGAGAAACTTTCGGTATTTTACAGTAGTTTGAATTACTGCTAACTCTAACATACTGCTTGTTATATTATCTTTAAAAATGGAATGTGCGTATCATTGATATGAAGAAAATCTCAGCAGGCAATGGACCCCAAATATGTCAGGGTATCTAAATTTTTGTCACTTGTAGTAATTTACATTTTTTTTCCTGTCCTGAGATATATTATTGTGTATTGAAGGAAGTATTCATGATTAAATTATTCACATTGTTACTTGCTGAAAGTATTTGTCAGCATTTTCATGTCTGGCGTTATTTTAAATTTTAAGCCTGTGTTAGATTGTGAAGATACGAGAATAGGAGCAAGACTTAAAAAGCATGGCATTGGGGTCTCATGATGCTTGAGCTTTTGTACCTATTTTACTGTTTACTAAATTATTTATTATATTTAATAATTGTCAGAATATTAAGATAACTTGATTTTTAGATACCTAACTTTATATTTTGTTTGTTTGTATAGGAAATGTTTTTCTAAAACATGGTTCAGAACTGCGGATTATTCCTAGAGATCGTGTTGGAAGTTGTTAATATCTGCTACTTGGAACATACGATTTCCTTTCAGAATAAATATTGGTATTTTTTGTTGTTGTAAAATTGAAATCAAGCATTTAACATATTATGAAAACACCAAGAGTAGGGGACTCATCTGTCCCTTTTTGTTGTCCATACTCTTCCTATGAAGAGGGAATGCGTATGAATTAAGGCTACTACGGTCACAGAAGATCGTGGTCTTTGATGCTACCTCACAACACAAACAGGTAGTTCGTTGGGGGCAAATGATTTAGCCAACTGTTAACTGGAAGCTTTTGATAATTTTTTTTTTTTAGAACGATTTGGAACATTAAAATTTACTGAATCATATATATTCGTCTGAGTTAAAAATATAAAAAGAATTATGGACCCTGGATGGCAATTTGCTTGATAGCATCTGATTTGCAGACACATAATTTGATTTTTAGTTAAATATATAGGTTATGATGAAGTGAATAGACATATCAGTGAACAGTTAACTATATTTTATCATTTCCTTTTTTTAAGATTCCAACCTCAGTTATATAAATTTCAGTTTAATATCAACCAAACAATTAAAATTTTAATGTAACCCTTATGTGTGTAAATTGATGTCCCAAACCAGCTTTTAATGGTGGACTTACAGAATCCAGTACTTTTAATGGTGGGAATTTTCAATACAGTAGAAGCATCCTTTGCTGAGTTATACATTCCTTTATCAATCTCTTTTGATACAACATTTAAAACAAGCAGCTTCAAGAAACCATTGGTGTTTTGAGGATAATATTTCTAAATAGCATTCAGGAAGAGAGTAGTATTACACAGATCTGAAGATCAAAAAACAGCTCAAGGAAATGCAGATCGGAAGTGCTGATGAGTTATATTTATTGAAAACTCAACTTTTAAGGAAGTGCTAAGATCAGTCACTCATGTGAATAAGAAGTCAGGAAAGGAAAGATGGAGAAGCCCAGATCACCAGACTTCTGTGAAGGAGGAAAGCAACAGAGGAAAACAGTGGAAGGGAACAGAAAGGGGTAGCAAAGTGTTACAGAAAAGCCAACTGGATAGACAAAACTGCAGAAGGTGTATGTTGGGGAGAACTGAAAGGGAAAACAAAATACTTGAGATAGTCTTAAGCAGAAGAAGGCAATCAGAGAAAACAAAGTGTCTACTGGACTTGTCAACATACAGACTTCAAGATATCCCTTATGAGAATCCAAAGAATGATGTGTAAAGGAAGATTTTATTTGCCCTTCCAGAAGAAATCAGTATCTATGCAAATCTTGAAAGATGAAATCAAAGCTCATAATGATTCAGAATCAGTGCTTGACCTTCTGTATTCTGAATGGTGAACTCTGGAAGCAGGGATTGTGTCTGGCTCTTTTTAGAGCTGGAAATGTAGTGGCTTTCATTAAATACTTGCTGTAAAGTCTTTCTAAGACCAATTATTATCTTAGCATGTTTCAGTATCTTCTCTGTCATAGACCCTAAGTTCATTAGGGGGGAAAAAAAAAGAAAATTCAACAGAATCCGCATTTGAAGTGTGCCATTGGTACTTGTTTATGAAATTACCAGATATTCATAAATGTGACAGATGAACAGCAGGATTATGAATTATCAAAGGAAAAATATTTGCTGAGGTGAAAAAATCTGATATTTGAGGAAGTTTTTATTTTTTTTATTTTCTTTTTGAGGTGGACTCTGTCGCCAGGCTTCTCTTGCCTCAGCCTCCCAAGTAGCTGGAACTACAGGCATGCGCCACCACGCTCAGCTAATTTTTGTATTTTTAGCAGAGACAGGGAGGAAGTTTTTATTTTTATAAACAAAATCTGATGTTCAGAGGCCCCGTTTTTTACAATAAATGTTGAGTCTCAGTTAAGCAGGAATTTGTGAACACCCATTTCCTGACTTTTTGCTTTAATTTAGATTTTTCTCCACTCTGTTTCTAACACAACAATTTGCCTGCTGTGTTACAAAAATAAATTTATATTGTCCTGTGCCATAAAGTGATATATTTAATATTTTTATTCTTTGGTTTTGAACATTGTAAGTTCCTAAAAACATTTTATTAACTAGACATTTTGTTATTAAATAAATGTGATCTGTCATTTCTTTGTGCAGAATGATTTGAAGTATTTAGTTTATATGCATTATTGGTTCATTATTAATATCTAATGGAAATATATATTGTTATATTGTACATGATATTGTCTATTATTATTAGAGCTCTTAATCAGCACACCTGTGGAGTCAGTATGTAATACATGTAGTAAAGAAAAGAAGGGCAAAGATGATTAATGACCGTAAGTCACAGAAATTAGTTTATAGTCATCTGCCACAGACACAGTAGTGATGTTTCATCTAACAACAGACCACATATATGACCTGGTCCCATAATACTGTATTTTTACTGTGCCTTATCTATGTTTAGATACACAAGTGCTTACCATCATTTTACAATTGTTTACAGTATTAGGTACAGTGACATGCTCTACAGGTTTGTAGTCTAGGAGCAATAGGCCATACCAAATGGCCTAAGTTTGTAGTAGGTAACATCATCTACATCATCTAGGTTTGTATGAGTACATTCTGATGTTCACACAGTGACAAAACTGCGTAAGGAAGCATTTCTCAGAATTTGTTCCTGTGATTAAGTGATATATAACAGTACTTCCAAATGCCTGTCCATTTTACAGATGTAAAAAAAGGTTGAGAAGAAAATGGGGTTATCGTAACTGGCTAAGTTAGTAGGTTTCAAACCTGGGTGATAACAGAGTTGCCTAGGAAATTAAAGATACAGATTTTTGGAAACCACCCCTTGAATTCTGATATATTGAGTCTGTAATAATATCTAAGAAACTCTGTAAATGGGAGTGTTGGTGATGTCTGGCAGTCAGGTGGTTTGAGAATTAATGAGAAGGCCACCTTTTCACTTTGTGGAAGAACAGAATGAGGTCTAAGGGGTCAAAGTAAGTAGAATATGTTCTGGAATCTTGGACAGTGCACTTTCCAATGCTTGGTAAGTAGCCTGAGGTAAAGGTGCTAGCTAACAGTCTCACTCAATAGCTAACAGTCTCACTACACACCCTTTAAAGGTTTTCAAGTAAAACATTTTTTAGATATGTTTTTCTTAGAACTAGTTGTTCAAAAGAAAAGTCAGTGGGAAGAAAATGCAATCCTATTTAATTCCTCTGCCCCAATATTAGGATACTAAAACTACCATGTTTTTTACCCAAGGACCTTGAACTCTTCGTGAATTGGAAGCACAGTCATACTTTAATGGAGTGATTCTAAGTTAACTGATAGTGTTCCTGAGGCCATTTATAAACCACACACACAAAAATAATGATTTATGTATGTAATTCATCCAAAACTCTGTTGAACATCTACTGTGTGTCAAATATTTTGATGGATAATTTCACTTTTATTATCTCATTGTTTATAACAATTCCAAGTTATTTTCCCCTTTTATAGAAGAAGAAAGGGCTCAAATTGAGCTTTGAAATTTGAACCCATGATTTGACCCAAACTCCGCACATTTTACAGAGAAATTTTTAGTATATATTTTCTGTGATATGCTAGATGTGTATTGAATCACAGATTAAAAATAAGAAAATATGTAAGGCTTAAATTCCATTTTAGAGTACTGACTCTGTAATGATAACGAGTGGTATTACTTTTTTAATACATGGTGTATATATGGTATAAATATGATAACATTCTAGGATATTAATTATAAACCAGTAGTGGGAGTAGGGACTGTGCCCCCATATTCATTAGCCTATCAGACATTGTGTTTTTTAATTTTAGTGTATCTTGCAAGTGCAGCTGCAACATTAGTCTTCTAATAACCTACTCTTTCTACTAGATTACTGCCCATAAACTCCTTTAATACAGAAATTCTGGAACTGCCCTCTATTGGTTAGTGCTGGAGATGGGTAAATCATTAGTCAAACTAGGCTATTAAACCATTAATTGAAATAAATGCTCTTGAAAACTTCATTCTATCCAATCTATTAGCCATATCCTTCAAATTGGCTAAAGTTCTCTTACCGTCAAATCTTACTCATCTGATTTGCCTTTCTTGATGTATCAAGCCAATCACAAAATTCTCTTGATGCTGTTAAGAGAGTATGTCAGCCATCGCCGCTGTAACAAAAGCCCTCATCTTCTCATTTATACTAAGAGCCTCTAGTCTTTCCATTTTCTCTTTCATACTGTTGCTGTAATGAATTCTTTTAATGCCATGTTTCATTAGTCGAAATCCTACCGAATAAAAAATCTACACTAAAATCTACACTATCTATGACATATGAGGCCCTTAATGAACTGGTCGGTGTTAGAGTCATCTGTTACCACTACTCCCTTACAGTTTCCTTCCCCAGTTTACACCGCAGCTACACCGAACCACAAATAATGTTATCTCTGATGTGCCATGTTCTTATGCTTTCATTTCTTTACTTACCCCATTTGTCTGCCTGGAAAACCTAGGACTTATTCTTTGAGATCAAAAGCCATTGAGCCTTTCCTCCCTCCTCCAAAGCAATAGGTATTAACTGTCTACACGATTTCACATTTTCTATATTCCTCCATTCTAGCAATTACTAAATACAGAATTATTTGTCTCTAAAATAAAAATTCTATAAAAGTCTAAGACCGTGACTGAAACTAGGTTTCCAAATTGCTTTGCCTATAATAAACAAAAAGTACTTTATAATTGAAAAACTACATGAAAGAATATTTTGAAAATTGGAACTGTGTCTCATACATAAAGTAACTGCTTTTCACCAGATTATTTGGTTAGCCGATATACCCATGTTCCTCGCTGTTTCTTGTAGCAGAAATTTACTATCTTAAATAAACCTTTTTTAATTGCAAAACATTCTCTTATTTTTAAACAAACGTTATTAGCTATATGCTGCATATTGTTAAATACTGGAGATGAAGCATGATTGACATCCATTCATTCCCATTTCTTGGACTTTCCAAAATTTATACATTTCAAAAACACCAAAATTACCTGATCTGGTAATCATGGACATGAAGATGCATAACGAATCATTGTTTATATACTGGGTACAGTGGGAGGCACTTTACAGACATTGTCAGACATTGTCTCATTTAATCCTTAATCCCTTCACAAATGCTAGTGTTAATTTCTTCACTTTACTGTTCAGGAAGCTGAGACTTCAGTTAATATGTTTAAGGTTATAATGAAATTGACTCCTAGGTCTGTATGATTATAAAGTCCACAATGTGAATCATATATTTATCATCAATTTGCCTAGAATTGTATTGAAATACTTTTTCAGAATAAAATGAGCACATCTGGAATGAGATTGCTATTTAATATTTCTGTGATCTCACTTTCCTTGAAAAATTTAACATTCAGCAATCCACATAAACACTGCACTTATAGACTCCTTTTTAGTAAATACCTACATTTATAGCAATAAAGAGAATGGTGAACATTTTAAAAGTAGATGTATGGCCCTATTATCTGCTTTGCTGTATAGAGGATGTTATAATTTTGTTACTAGATGCAAAACACTGGCTAAGACTGGCAGACAAATTCAGAGAGCCAGTTTTGGCATAGATCTCTCATTTTTTGGCAAAACTTGTTAGCAATGTAGAAGCTGTTATTGAGAGCATATTGTGATGATACATCATGTCAATATTTGTTTGGCTGAGTAACACTTGCATTTAATAAATTAATTCTTAAATGCACAATTTACAACTGATGAGCTGTTTTAGAAATAAACTAATTTTTGTTGTCAGTGCCACAAACATTTTGACAAGTCTCTGGTGGAGATACTAGCTTCTCGGTTTTTTTAGATTAATGTATGGATAGATTAGGACTTTCTGAATTATCTGTAGGTGTGCACATTATGTAGGAATGAAACATGAGAGACAATGAATGAGTAAATAAATGAGTCACATAGATAAATTAACCAAAAGGACTGTAGCGAGGTCACGTTGTGCTTGTGGGGAACTACATCCTTGAGTAAGGAAATACCATATTTGTTTCTCAAAGCAATAAAAAATGAGGGCTTTAGGGAGCTGTAGTCACTATGACAGATAGGGTATATTTCTGTCAATTCCATATACATACTAAATTTAATCTAGAACTTTCATAATCCTGCTGTATGGATTGGAGTAGAGAGCAAAAGAAGTGACAGACGCCCTTCAATGGAAATTGCTGAAGACAATTGTAGTTGCTTCCCAACATGAAAATAATTATGTTCCAAATATTTTGATTTAATTTTTAAATTAAGCCAGTACCTTGTTACCTAGGAAAGAATAATACCTGTATTCATAGAACCTTGGATTTGGGAAGATATTTTCTAAAGTGTAATTCATCTCCCTATTATTTCCTAGTACGGTTATATTTTTGAAAACCATTAAAAAAATAGTATTTCACAGGAACTTCAATAAAATGAACCAGATTCTAAGGATGCCATCCTCTTGCTGTAAACAAATAAATAAATGTAAAATTCCAATCTATTATTCCTTACCTTCTATACTTTCTAGAGTTGACCCTTGAAGAATGTGGAGGTTCAAGGCATTGACCCTTTGCACAGTCAAAAATCTACATATAACTTTTGACTCTCCAAAAATTTTACTAATAGCCTACTGCTGACCAGAAGCCTTAGCAATAACATAAACAATTGATTTAACACATATTTTGTAGGTTATACACTGTATCTTTAAGCAACAGAAAAGAAAATGTTAAGGAAAAGAAAATACAGTATGCATTAAGTGGATGTACATCATCATAAAGCTCTTCATCCTTGTCTTCACGTTGAGTTGTCTGAAGAAGAGGACGGGTTAGCACAGGCAGAAGAAAATCCATGTATAAATGGACCCATGTGGTTCAAACCTGTTTTGTTCAAGGGTCAACTGTACGTTTTACCTTCATTATATACCTTCTATCTCCACCCACACTCCCACCAAAAAACATGGCTTTGTTCTGAAAAGCTGGGAGTCCCCTAAAGATTTTCCTAAAATGCAGTTTCTTTGCTCCATTTTGAAGCATTCTTTGCAATTGGCCAAGTCAGCATTTAGCTTTGTTGCCTCACTTTGTCCTCAGTCTACCTAGACAGACCTTGCATGTCTTTCCTTTTTGCATGTGAGATTTTTTTAACCCTAACTACTGCTTTTGCTAGTGTCCCAAACTTCATCTCCTATTTTACTTGACTA